TCGTCCATTTTAAGCGATTATTTGTAAAGTCTGACCCTACTCAGATGACTACTTATTGTGAGTGTACAATGGTGTTATTACATATATACCGTTCTTGATTACCTGAATTTGGCACCTAAATGTTTTGGTACCTCACTTCTTCTTCTTCACGGGAATGATCTAAAAGTACTTATCTATTTATTTTTTGATTTTCATGAAATTATTTTCCAGCAGCTTGACTGCATTAAATTTACCTGAATTTGGCACCTAAATGTTTTGGTACCTCACTTCTTCTTCTTCACGGGAATGATCTAAAAGTACTTATCTATTTTTTTTTTTCATGGAATTATTTTCCAGCAGCTTGACTGCATTAACCTTTCTAGATTTTATAGATATACTGCTGTAGTCTCTCTCATTTCTGAACAGACAATACCTATTCGTCTGCCTAATAGTTAAGTTTCAACCCTTTCTACTGGAAATGGAGAAGCTTGTATTCATGGTTGAACTCATGTCCCTTTGATATTAAATGAGTAACATATGTGGAATTTATTTTTCCATTCTGAAAACTATATTTGTGTTCCTTTATGCGGGCTTTGAACGCTATTCCGGTTTACCTATATAAAACATCGGACATGTGTATAAATTATCGTGTGGGTCATGTGGTTTTGGTTCGGACCTGAAAATTATTTCCAGATAATGATCTTGTGCTTGTAATATTATGACCAAAATTACACCAAACCTGTGTGAATTGTAGCCTATATGTTATTCTGATGTATGAGCTGTATTTATGTAAAGTTTCATCTAGATCCGTTCAGTCGTCTAGGTGTGAAAGAGCCACAAACATATATCTGTTTAAAAAATCCGTTTAAAATATGTTTTTTCGTTAACCAGCTGTCGCACCCCTACGAACGACAACCCTCACAAGTCGAAACTTGTGTGAGCTAAGGATCAACGAGGTCTTACCCTTTAACGTGTGATTCCTAACACGGGTCTATCTTCCTCTTTTGTTAATGGTCACAACTGTTAAAATTGGCAGGTATCTCAATCGCCACAAAAGAAATAACCAGGAAAGGAATTTCTGGCAAAAACAAAACAATCTGCACAGACAGCAGACAAGCTTTATTAACCTTGAACAGACAACGTGCTGCCTCAGGGCTAGTACTAGAGTGCCACCAAGATTTAGCCAAAGCCTCGGTAGATAATAACATTATCCTGAGGTGGGTTAAAGGGCACGGCAGGAGCAAAGGTTATCGCATTACCGACTCTTTAGCCAAGGAAACAGCTGGACTAAGAATTTTAGGACCCAGTGGCACCCACGGCCTGATGACTTCAACAATTGCGGAACTAGCCAAATGTTACACCCATGCTCAATCCCTAAAGAGATGGGATGGGATCAAAGGATGCAATCTTGCCAGGATCACCCTGGGAGACCCTGGGAAGCTGGCGCCGAAGAAATATCTGGCGATGACCAGGAATAATCAACTAAGGAAACGCTTCTATAATATGAGGCTATGCAGGATGTGTTAACAGGAAGATGAGACTGTTAGGCATGTCCTATGCGAGTGCCCGGAGTTATCACCAATAAGAGAGTGTGTTTGGCGAGTCTTGGCCTACACCTGCCGGTATAAAGGAGATGTATCCAAGTGACCTGTCCACCTTCCTGGAAAGGACAGAATGGACGATGACCTAGGAGGACAACTCCTCGGGGGGGATGTACAATGGGTCACATGTGGCTTAAGTGCTGTGGGCTTACACTCACCCTCCCCACTCTGCAGAACTGCTAAAATTGTTATGATGACTATCACTTTCTACACAACACTGTGTCTGTGATTCTACATTACATTATTTCAGTTTGGGTGTTCACAGACACCATTCTCAGGCGAACAACCAGAATATATCTGTAAATTAATATTGCCCAGCATGTAATATTCAGTTCTAACCATAATTGTTAATTGTGTGCTTCAATTTCATGTGGTTCCACGCAAGTGTAAAACTGTAGTTGATATATTGACTGAAGATTAGGAAAGAATATTTCCAAATACCAAAATGAAAATGTTGTCATAGCCAACCAGTTATCGATCATAAAAATGAAACAATATGTAATTGGCCAGTATTTCGAATGGAATTCTTGACCTCTTTTCATTTCGGTTCGAAGTACTAGGATGCTCCTCTCTTTGAGATTTCGACCACCAGATGGTGCTGCTAACACTGCTTCATTGATTTACTATGTTATGTTCAGATGGAGGTTACGTATGTAACAGTAGAAATTATTGCTGGGTCCTGTCCTGCCCTGAAGAAGTCCTTACGTCATCTGGTGGCAACTGAAAAGGGGGCGGAATCCAGTCGTCTTATGCGACACGTGCCGAGGGATGAATAGAACTTGGACCTTATCACACCAACGGAGTGTCTGGGATATAAAATGATCTCTCATAATATTCGGCCTTGCATACAAACAGTGGGCTTCATGGTTACGGATAACCCTTTATCTCACACTGCAGGTTCACAAGTACGAATATAAGGAGTAGTCTTCGAGTTGCAATGGGAGTATAGCACAGTAAAGTGGCTTTGGCGATCCTTACGAAGGTTACGGAAAAGTTTGATATTGCTCTCATACAAGAAACCTAGGACTACAGGGAAAATATCATGAGATCAGGAATCAGTCTCATATATTTTGCATTGAAGACTTAAAAAAGGATAGCACTGACTACTAGACCACTGCTTCGAGACCAATATGCGAATGAGTCAAGTGAGTCAACGGAAATGGGAATAAAGAGAAAATGCTCACAGTAACAAGGAAGAACCTTTAGCTGTTTTCTTGAATATTAAAGGCGCATTTGATGATACTTTCCTGAAATCAATCATCCAGACACAAGTTGTAGGTGGATATACAGTGCATTTCTTTAATGTCCCCCCTTTCATTTTTTAACGGGTCAACTCAAAAAATTGAAATTTGGGATAATGAAATTAATGCATGAATACTTCATTTTGAAGTGAAATTGACAGATGAAACTCTCAAGATGGCAACTGGGCGCCATCTTGAGAGAAAAAATTGAATGGAATGGGGGGTCTTGTGGGTCTTAAGCTCCTGATAATACTCCACAACCGTAGAATATGAAGTCAATATCTTCACCTACTACAAAATGGCGAAAAATTTGATAATGTCCTGAACACAAACATAATAATATCGATATTTCTAAAAGTATTCCTTTTATCTGGCATATGGCAATTCCAACAACTCGATAAAGTTTGTTGAGTTATTTTTTGTTTATAAAAAATTGGAGTGACACCAACCTACATGTTTTCCCGGAAACACATACCCAATATCTATTTATTGATCAAAATTTAACAGGGGAACTGTATTTGAATATGCTGGAAACTAAAATCGTCGAAGCGAATCCTAATGAATTCGATATGGATATTATATTCCAACAAGATGTAGCACCACCACATTACTCCAGACAAGTAAGAAATTATTTGGATACTACTTTTCCCGGTCGTTGGATTTGCTGTTGAGGTCCTACACAATGGCCAGCCCGCTCGCCAGATTTGACAACTTTGGACTTTTTCATGGCGCTATTCGAAGCAAAAGGTGTACGGAACTGAATTTTCTTCAATATTAGATATACGGCAGAGAATAATAAATATTTGTAGAGATATTGACGTTACTGTGTGTTCGGCGTGAAATATCGGATAGGCTGTTCATATGTCATGAAGTTTAAGGCCACCATTTCGAGCATCTTTTGAACTGACCTAAAAGTATTCCTTTTATCTGGCATATGGCAATTCCAACAACCCGATAAAGTTTGTTAAGTTATTTTTTGTTTATAAAAAATTGGAGTGTCACCAACCTTCACGTTTTCCCGGAAACACATACCCAATATCTATTTATTGATCAAAATACAGGGGAACTGTATTTGAATATGCTGGAAACTACTGTTGACCCTCTCATTACTGAAATCGTCGAAGCGAATCCTAATGAATTCGATATGGATATTATATTCCAACAAGATGTAGCACCACCACATTACTCCAGACAAGTAAGAAACTATTTGGACACTACTTTTCCCGGTCGTTGAATTGGCTGTTGAGGTCCTACACAATGGCCAGCCCGCTCGCCAGATTTGACACCTTTGGACTTTTTCATGGGGCTATTCGAAGCAAAAGGTGTACGAAACTGAATCTGCTTCAATATTGGATATACGGCAGAGAATAATAAATATTTGTAGAGATATTGACGTTACTGTGTGTTCGGCGTGAAATATTGGATAGGCTGTTCATATGTCATGAAGTTCAAGGCAACCATTTCGAGCATCTTTTGAACTGACCTCAAGCTTATTATCTCATATTATGTTGTCCACACCATTATGGAATCGTGTATGCTGATTCAATGCATCAGCTGAATCTAAAAGAACACAAATAAATATATTGTTGAATTAGCGATATGATCTTTCGTCAAAAACCAGATTATTATTACTATGTAGTGATTAATGCATATATAGATTTCAATAAACGAATTTGTAACATATAATAAGGGAGACATTTATTTTTAGGGCACTCGAATATAAAATTATTCATAACACAAGGAGGAATACAGTCTATCGAAGAGGCAATATTAAATCATGTCCCAATGGTAGTACTACCTGTTTTTGGAGACCAAGCAAAAAATGCTAGAAGGATATCATCTGAAGGAATTGCAAAAACTGTTTTTCATAAGCATGCATTGGTGAAGAAAGAACTCAAAGGGGCAATTTTGGAGGTTATCCAGAAACCACAGTAAGACAAACATATTATTCACTAGTAAACGTGATTTCACATAACTATATTTAGATGAAACCAGAGCCCATAGTTATTCATATGTGACCTAGTCTATGTCAGGACTTTACTATTCATTTACGAAGCTACAGTATACTGTAATAACGTCGACTCTCACTGGTTTTTTTTCAAATACGGGACTCAAGATATATACAATCCCTCCGTAGTCACCACTGTAATGGTGATTGTTCTTCCAAATTAATTTGGTAGCTGCTGTCACCAGATGCGGATTTCTCCACATCAAATTTTGAATATCAAAGCAATTCTAAAAGCGCTTGAATTCGGCCTCCTGCACGAAGAGGAGGTATTTAGTTGCAGTGAGAAAGATCTTCAAAATTCGCATATACATCTTTCTGAGAGGTTACTCTGTTAGACTTTGAAATAAAAGCCGGCTTCAAACCTCAAAACTATATTCAATAATAAAGAAAATGAAGAAAAATGATGCAACAGAATAGACAAAAAAAAACACCAACAATAACCAAATATCGCCTTCGCGGTAAATTACTGTCATATACGAGACTGACTGATACTGTAGCTTGGCCGATAATTTCTGACCGCTACCTAACTATGACTCAATTATTTGATCCACTCTGTATACTGATTTGTGGCTCGCTAACTCCTTTCCAAAAATTCATAGAATTTACATTTAATTTACATTTTACTCACCGCTGCCTTTTCTAGCTTGTCCCTGTAGGTTATCCAAAAATATTGGAGCAAAACTTCACCTTAATTTTATCTCGTTCATACACGGTTTCGGCCTACTGAATAGGTATCTGATTTAATGTTTAAACTACAGTGCCGGAGTTCCACTCGAACATTACACACTTATACTCTTCAAAAATTTTCCCTAGGAAAACTACCTCCCAAAACAAGATACCGCTCTTGATCGACTCGCAAAAATAAACTCCCCCTGTTCGAAGCCCCTTGACTCCTCTCGCTTAACGAGATTTTCGCTCAACTCCGCGATAACAACTCTCAGACGACCCGCAAGTCCCGCACCATAATGGTGCCGGACTTGGAAGAGTCATCGCCATATTTTGCTCAACTTGCAATGTTTCACGGTTTGGACTGATTTCTGACTGCCCGTTTGATTGAATTCCGAAAAGTAATTCATGACGGTGCGTCTAGCCAACAAACAAGCAGATGATTTTTTTCAAAACACTCCCACGGTCTGGCCAAAATGTTACATTGTATGAGGCACAGGACCGTCGTTCAATTTCTGAATTGAGAATGACTCTGTCTATTCCCGAAGCTAGAAAATACTAACATACCTAGTTTGTTTCTTGCTAGGTATTACAATACTTTTAAAAATATGTATTCATTTATCCTTTGATTCATTCATCTATTATTCATTCACTTATTCATCTATTTATTGATTTATTTGCATAACAATATGACAAACATATACAAGTAATGATCTTGATAGGTAGGTCCGAAATGAGTAGGTGTCTATTTGACCTTTCACTGCAAACTGGTACAAATAAAACCAGCTTCTCAACGAAGCCGATTACAGTATCTGGAGTATCATCTTTCAAGTCAGCTGTCAAACGCTGAAATTCTTTTCTCACAGAATAGTCACTTCTGTGGTACATTTTCCTCAATCTGCTTAGACATACATTTGTGACTTGGGAAGTAGATCACCTGGTAATGCATTTCAGGCAAACGCCCACCACGGCTATGCACCCACCAGTCAAAAGACGTTGTACTCAGGTAACCTGTAGCCATTAATACCAGAATGTGCATCTCTGGAATCTTACCTGTTTACCATCTTCTGGAATGTTCTTTAGGGTGTCTTGAAATCATATTGAAAAGATTCTAGTTGTTTGGCCAAATTGAGATTGTCGGATGTTCAAGATGCAAGATTCCCAACTTTCCATTTTTGGGCATCTGCTATATATCACGGTACATAAGATTTGGCCATGCAGTTCTTTTTCTCCTCTGGTTTTCATGGATTATTATTCGAGCGTAAGCATTTACTAGCCTGCTCAGAGGAAGATTGTTTTCTCTCTTGAGATATGTAACATTTACTCTGATAAATATGATCTCATGAATACATGCAAATTCTGCTTGCGCTGCTCAACAATCTGGTGCAAGGCAGATTCATCAGATATTCTATTCTAAAAGAGAGAATCTTGACTGCACCATCTCTCCTCCAAGATTTGTTAACAGGGTTACGAAATGAAGAACTGAGAAGCGCTTGCTCATGATGCGATATTATTGAAAAGATAGTTGGGGCCTCAGGATCGGATTCAAAGATTACTTCACAACTTCACTACAACGAAGACAGACACTGGGTATCGCAAAGGTCATGTTGGTGATACTGAGTGAGCTGAGTTTCATACGTTCTTTTGGAACAGGTACATACCCGAGAATAAGCCGTCGTTTTGGATGACCCTTACCACTTCAGGAGACACCTCCCCTGGCATGGAGAATTCTAGAGTCCCTCGCTGTAGGGTGTACTAAAAGATATTGATGATACAGTACTTATGTGAGCTTAGGTATTAATTGTACAGAACAGTACTTATACAGTGTCACCATTAAAGTGCGCACAATATGGGAAACTTTTTTTTCGAAAAGTTTCAATGAAGTTTAACTTCGGCACTTGTTTGTGCTTTAAATTTAACTTAAAATGATGCCACCATCTGCGACCCACTGACGTTCAGTGTTCGTCAAATTCAACTTTGTTTTTTGAAAAAAAAATGAAAAAGTGCATTTCTAGATCGAATTTAACAAAAAGTTACTTGAAAAAGTTGTGTCTACGGCAATTTTATATCCATATGCCAAATTTTATGCAACTAGGATAATGTTAACGTCTTGCTTATTTTTGACAGATATCCCCTTTATTTTAAAAAACAAGTTCGGTTAATTGTCATCAATTCATGTATACATAACAAACTCATCATGGAGTTTAACTTTTCTGATACATTTTTACTTATACNCATATGGTGCGCACTTTAATGGTGACACTGTATGTCTGAACTGAAATATGTCATCTTTGTTTGTCTCATACAGGTAACAGATTCATTGTCCTTTATTAGCTATAACCGATGTTGCCAAATGGTGAAATAGAAACGAATACCTTTGAATGTTGAATGCATTCATTCCTTTTTTTTAAGTATTTAAATAATTTTCTAAAGAAAAAGGTTGAAATCATAAGTTTAAAATGCGTTGTTTTAGAGCTATTTTATGAAAACTACTTGATTTTCGTCAAGACGAACATTCCCCATTCTTGGGTCCTTGTTTTTGGCCTACCTGGTCTAAGCAAACAAAAGTCCGATTACCATTTATGCTTTCAAGTGATATGATTCTGTCGATAATTTTTTTGGATATAAAAGCTAGTATCGAGCTACATTATTAACAAATTAGTATTATAGTAACAAAATCTTCGAAGCTTGATATCAAACAGTGTTTTTGGACTACAGTAAGGATGAACTACGATGTATAACAGGCCTTCTTACAAGTCACTGTCATTTGAATCATCATATGCAGAGACTCGGACTGAAAGACCTGAAAGACCTCTCACCATACAAACTGATCTGTTTCGTTGAGAAGCTGAGTTTATATGGTCGAGTGTGAATAGGTGTGAGCCACAATAAACCCTTGCATGTTGCGGTGGAGGGTCGAATAGACCCACTCACTTTGGACCTAACCTAGTAACAAACAATGGAAAAAAATTGAGGATAGTAAAAGAATTTCTCTCTATTATTGGTACTGTTATTCTTGATAACAAAGCTTTTCGGACATACCTTGAAGAGGTTATTTTCATTTCAGGTACAAGCAAAAGGTGAAAGAGGTAGCTCAATTGATTCTCGATCAACCGATGACTGGTGTAGAGAAAGTAGTATGGTGGACTGAATATGTTGTTAGAAACAAAGGAGCAAAACATTTGAGAAGCCCTCTAATCGACATACCCTTTTATAAATTCATTTTTTTGGATGTTGTTGCTTTTTATGTCTTTTTATTGGCGCTAATAACAATAGTATTCGTAAAGTCAATTCAATTACTGAAGAAATGTCTGAATGTATCAAAAGCAATAGTTTCGAATGAAAAGAAAAATGAATGAAAAAAGTTCAAACAGATGGTATTCCAGTATGAAATGATTTGTTTAATGCAGATTATCATAAATATATCTCTTTTCTTTTATGGTCCAAAAATATTCAACAGCTTACCTAAGAATATGAAAGATATAACATCCTTGAAACTATTAAAAAAAGAGGCGAAAAAGTATAAAAAAATGTAAGTAACCTTCACTTGCCATTTGAATACAATTACGTAAGATATAAAACTGTAATATCCATTATTTTATTTATTTACACATTTTTTATTGTTTTTGATATTGATGTTTGTATGTATAATGGTTTTGAAATATATTGAATTGAATTGAACACCATTCTTGTTCAATGAATAGTTCCCCAATATCCACACACTTGTATCCACTTTTTTCAAATCGTTAAATAAGATACCTAGCATGTATTAATAATGCAATTATGAATGCGGTTCAAATAGATTATAGTAACATTTATAATATGAATCATTCTATCATAATTCAGGAGTTTATTGCAAAACGTAGTTTGTCAATTTGGAAATCAGATTTCCAAAAGCCTCTTTTGAAGTTCCTCGAGGATATAACTTGGAACCCCTACTTTCAACTTCGTTACTGATGATATTTGATCCAGTATACACTAATAGAAATGAATTTTTGAGTAACTATAATGAGAAGAATAAGGAGGAGGGGCTTGGCCATGGAAGTGTTGAGAAAAAATTAAGTAGACTATAAATTATCATATTCAGTACATTTCTAATAAGTTTCGTTTTCTGTTTTATGTCTTTTCAACCAAGCGAGTTGATTTTACTGAAGATTAGGGTGTTTATTTTGATAGTATGAAGTCATTTACATTTTTATAAGGTCTTCAGCGAAAGATATTTTGTAACTAGATGATTAGATATTTTTTATACTCGTATACTTGGCTTTCCGAAAATGACTAACGTTTCGGCAAGTAATAACTTTCCCTTCTTAAAACCTAAAAAATTATTGGCGAAAAATGCTTGAATATTGACTCTTCTTAATGTTTGCAGTTTTAAAAAAGCTAAGTACAGCTACCGGTAGTTGTACTTAGTTCTGCGTAAAGTCGTAAAGTCGTATTTGCGTAAAGTTTGGGTCGGTGTTTGATAAAGAAAATATTAGCAAAAAAGCAATAGAAACTTTTGTTCGCAATTTTACGTAGTACGGATTAAGGGGTAGACAATGAATGGATATTAAAATGCCATTTGGGTTCTTGCAGATATATAAAAAGCAGTTTATGTAGAGGCACATTCGGAAAATTGTAATATTCTGAAAATAGTTCAATATTTCAAGAAAAACAGTAATTATATTTTGTTGTGAACAATAAACGAATATTATTCCATTTGGGTTCTTGAACAGTTAGTCAGAATCACAATCACTATATTCTTCATTAGTTTCGGAACTAGAATCTTCACCTAAATTTATCAGATTTTCCGTAACTTCGTCAATGAAAGGTTCTGCTTCCAAGAATTTTTCTTTCCACTTTTTTGCTTGATCACAGCGATTCTTCCACTCTTCAGCACTATATTCGTCAAAAAAAGTCACACACAAATGTTGGACATCCCTAAGATGAAATTGCAAATTTTTTTCCCACGTATTGCTTTAATGATGCCCATACTGGGTGGTAAAGAGGTATTCGTAAGTCACTATAATAGCCATGTTGAGTTGTCTAATATAATATAAATTGATTTGAAAACCCTGAAAAAACAATTAATACACCACGAAATACACCACTCACACTTCTTTACTTGTTCTATCGATCTAAAATATTTTCAGCATTGCGGCGTTGCCACTTCCATCAAAAAGTCCTAGCAACTTAATTTTTTTAAATGGAACACCCCGTATATTAATACATTTTTGGAATCGCTCTGGTATTTTAATACTTTTTTATT